GCTGCTTAATTTCAGGATTTTATCTATTAGTTTATTTTATATATGTGGTAGGAGTGCTGCTGTGTTGCAAACATCTCATTTTTGCAGCTCGAGGTCAACCAGCCAGCTTTGGCTTACTGACCAGGTATTGACTTTAAACACGTATAACAGTAAAAGCACACCTAGCTGTCAAAGCAAGCCCCCCAGACTCATTGAGATTGATGGTTTTGAATGTGTGTCTTTTACCACTATACCGTACAACCTAATTTAGAAAGCACCTTAAAAAAGCCACGAGATAAACAGCCATATAGAGGTTAAGATAAAATATATTAAACAACAATCAGACATGAAGAAATGACATTTATGCAGGATTTACTGTTGCATAATTGCAGCAGAGCTTTTAAGAATCAGCCTAAACAGTAGAAAAAAGGTAATCTGAAAATTTGCTTTGTTATACATTACAGAAGTTACACCACCCCAATCTTCATTGCATTTTATAGAGATTCTTAGTATCAAGCGGGTAATAAGTGGCCCATTGAAGGAGTCGATTGAGTTTCTTGCAAATAAAAATGAGAGAATTGTGGACCTAATGTGAATTTGTAGCTCTAATCCAGCTATTTTGAAATTACTGCTGCAGATGTTTTGTTATGCCTTATGCATCTATTGGCTTTGCTTGTCTAGAGAAAAAAATGCTTCAACAATTTCTTTTTGCAGAATATCTGACTGCATGCAAAGCATTTATGGACAGTCTTTACCACTTTTGCTATAGACCTCTTAATTCATTTAACGTCTTAACTTAGTCTTTGATCAATACCCTTCCATTGCAGCTCTGTCTTTAAGTTTAGGTGTGATGCCTCTGGAAGATGAAACAGTGCTAGATTAGGGAGTTTTGCAGCCTGTAGCAGGTTTTTATCTGGTTTTGTCCTAAATTCATCGCAGTCTTTCCTTTATTACTCACCAACTTCTCTGCCTTTCATAAAAACAATCCTGACAACATGGTAGTGATATCACCACCAGGTGTGTTTTGCGAATGCCGTCAGGTCGAAGGTCGCAATAAACCCTCAATGTTCCGATCTTACTTAGTTAAAAACATTGAACAGTTCCAGTGAAACAATGCAAATGTTTTTCACTGCGCAGGACTTAGTCCTCTCAAATATAAATTTTTTGGAGTAGTGCTTCAACTAACGATTATTTTGCAAATCTATTAATCTGTCGATTCTTTTACCGATTATTCAATTAATAATCGGATAGCCAAAGGTTCATTAAAGAAGACTTTCTACGAAATTAAATCAGATAAAACTCAAATTTTTCCCATTTGAGGAGCATTTTATTAAATGCAAAATGTTTATATTTTTCTTTTAAATCTTGGCATAATTACTACCCTAAGTTGGCCGCTCTGTCAGCTAAAGGCAAGTTTCACAGTCTCTAAACTGCAGTTAATGAATAATCGATTACTAAATTAGTTGACGATTATTTTCAATAATTGATTCAATAATTTGATAATCCGATTAATTGTTTCAGCCCTCGTTGCACTTCGTTGAGGTGGAGAACATTGATTTAACATCGGAATAATGTTCAATCACTATCCCCCTAAGTTTGGGGAAATTATGCTCAATAGATGGGCAGACCCTCATTTTAGCCACCTTTAGTTTAAAACCTCTAAAACAAGTCGGTAAGACTGAGGTTCACCTATACAAGTAAGTAAAGAACCTCATTTTCTAGATGTGTAGAGCTGATAGACATACCCCAACAGACTTGCAGCTTCTGCAAAAAATGGTTCTATTAAGTGTACAGTTGAGGTAGAATGCAATAGTATAGCAAAATTTTCAGATTGTATTGTATTAAATTCACACTCCTGTTTTATCATGTGTTTTACCACCTAACATCTGATTAAAGCACAAAATGCGAAAATATTTCCAAGTGCTTTAAATACGCTTTTCTCTGCATAACCATATATGCAAAGAGATATGCAGTTTGGATATAAATTGTGCACAATTAGTGACACTAAATGCTCCATAAAACCTTGACAGAACATAGTGTTTTATACACACACAGACCTTTAATTCACAATCAATGGACAGTGCTTTCAGGCAGGTTGGATAGTAAAGTGTTTTCAGGCGTTGGGCCAGACAGCAACTATCCTGCACGGCTTTGTTGTGCCTTGTTAGCTGTATAGATCTGATATGCAGTTGCTGTTTGTAAAAGCAGCATTTATTAGCACTTGAGCTGGAGCAGGAAAAGATGTATTGTGTCCTGGAATTAAAGGGCATGAAGTGGAATTGGCTGCATGAGTTGAAGGGATTTAAGTATCTTTGTTTTCATATTATTGTTGAAATAAATAAGCCGTTGCTGTAACTATGTGGCTTGGCTTTAGGCTATTCTGATTAGCACTGTAATCGTCTTCTTCCACTTAATATGTGACTACAATGTCTTCTGGCATTTATCACAAAAAAAAAGATAAGTGTAAAATTTATTGACCTTCTGCAAACTTCAGATTATGTTTGCACGTCTGTGCAAGTTAACAGTTATGGAGCTTGTCATCCCCCCAAAAAACTGACGCAGTTATCAAAACCCTCCAATGACATCACATTATTCTAAATTAGAATTATATATTCCCTGAATAGGATATTCCTTTCAAACAGATGCAACACTGCACAGCCAGGTATCGGGGCCAAAAAATAGCATCGGCGCAATGCTAGTTTAAATTCAATTTCAATTCAGTTTATTTCTATAGCGCCAATTCATAACACATTTCATCTCAGGTCACTTTACACAGACAGTTCAACCAGATCATGCAGTCAGATTTGTTCGATGTTTTCTATCTAAGGAAAACCAGCTGATTGCATCGACTCATTGACCCAATAGCAGTCCCTCACACCAAGCATGCTTGTAGCGACAGTGGAGAGAAAAACTCCCTTTTAACAGGAAGAAACCACCAGCAGAAACAGGCTCAGTGTGAGCGGCCATCTGCTGAGGCCGACTGGGGTTCAAGGAGACTGAGGCAGACATAGAAAAAGAAGCAGAGATAAAAAATGCAACTGTCAACTAGGTCCACAGGCGGCCCTGTCCAGAAAACACACAGCCAGGCAGAAGAATTCCAAGCCAGCCCCCACGTCAAAGGATGAACGAGAGCACATCCAGTTAGTCACAGTCAGAGAAACAGGACTACATTGAAATTCAGACCAAGAACCAACATCTATAACAGGTGTTAATGGCTGCAGCACAGTTGATATTTCTCTCCAGGATGGAGTCACAGCCAAACAGGAACAGACCAGATTGAGAGCTTCTATGAAAAAAAGCAGAGAGAGCAGAAGGTTACACATGGGACTAACAAATTCTGCATATTGGCAGAATAGAGATGGAATGAAGCGGAATGATGAAAAGGTGTTTCTATGTCCTCCAGCAGTCTAAGCCTATAGCAGCATAACTATAGCTTTAGCTTAGGGTAACATGAGCCACTCTATAAGCTTGATCAAAAAGGAAAGTTTTAAGCCTATTCTTAAAAGTGGACAGGGTGTCTGCCTCACGCATAAAACTGGTAGTTGGTTCTAACGGAGAGGAGCCTGATAAATAAAAGATCTGCATCCCATTCTACATTTAGAAATTCTAGGAACCGCTAATAAACCTGCAGATTGAGAGCAAAGTGTTCTGTTTGGAATATAATGAACAATCATATCTCTGATGTAAGATTGAGCTTGGCCATTTAAGGCTTTATATTTGAGAAGGAAGATTTTAGATTCTTTTCTGGATTTAACAGGAAGCAGATGAAGAGAATCTATGATTTCAGTTTTTCATAAGAACTCTAGCTGCAGCATTTTGGATCAGCTGAAGGCTTTTAACCACAGACTTCGGGATAGTAAAGAATTACAGTACAATAGCTCGTACAATAAGAGTTCTAATGACAAGAACAAAGATGAAGATGAGAGAATCCAAAAAATGTTTAGACTGTTGGCTCTGAAATTAAACGAGTAAAGCTGCCGCAGTCTTGCAGGATGGCTAAATACACAGCTACAGCTATGCTCACTCCTGTTGTTGGGTAGCTTTGCTCTGTGTCATATAATTGGGAATTTTGCTGAATTTCACTTTTAATCTTCCTCAACCAAATTATAAGGAACCATGAAAAAACATAAATTTGGAAAATTTTGTTATCTAGGTTTGTCTTGCAATGCATCCATACAATGTAAAAATGTTTGGTAGTGTAAGACTAAGATTTTCTTTTTGTAAAACCAAGCTTTTTTATTTGTTTTTGAACTGACATGGAAAAGAAAAGGGGGCAGAGTAAATACGAAGAAAACAATAAAGTTAAGAAAATCACTTCAAAACCTGTACACTGGGTTCTTATACAGGAATACCACTGAGCTCTTTTACATGAGGATTTAATTCAGTCGATAACGAAACAGATGGAGCTTAAAACCCTTGTATCTTTGTATTAGTTTAATTTTCTTACCTGCAAAACATGCAATCTGTATAATAGTATTCATAATCTATTGTCAGACCTAAAGTACTTTGAAGAGCCAAACGTATATGGGATTTTTAAGGCTGAAATCGATATTGGGGGCTTTAATAAAACAATATATGATATTTTGGCTGATATCTGATATATATCTGCCAGAATATATAAAAAAAAAAAACATGGACTTACACGGGATTTGTGCTATCCAACAAAAGTCAAACTCAAATTGTCATTATAACCAAAAATATTATTTAAGATGGAATTGAAAAGTAGTATTAAATAGAATTAAAAGGAGTAGAACCAACAACCAGCAACAACCCGAAGTTTCTTTAACCTGTTTGCAGCAAATAGAAAGTTTTTATTTCAGCCACATTGTGGCCGATGTCAATTAATGAGCCAGACGCTAAATGGCCCGCCGATTAATCGTTCTAGCTAATACATTGTGTAGATGTGAACAGTAGTATGTTTCACTTAGGAGTTTAAGACCCACAGTCTGTAAACAAACCTGCTGCATAACTGACCTTCACTTTCTTTCAGCTTCAGCAATCTTTCATCCCTTCCCACTTAGGTTTGTGGCCCACAACCCGATGCGACTGCAGAAACTCGGGGTGACGCACGTCCTAAACGTAGCAGAGGGTACCTCCTTCATGCATGTCAACACCAGTCCGGAGTTCTACGCCGGGACTGGGATTACATACCATGGCATTCCAGCCAACGACACAGAGGACTTCAACCTTAGTGCCTTCTTTGAGGAGGGGGTGGATTTTATAGACAAAGGACTGGCGCATCATAATGGCAAAGGTGAGAACTTTCCCGTTCCTGTTCTTTTTATAAAGTTCTTTTCTTTTAACTTGCAGCTTGTAAACTGCTTTGTGTGTATTAAAAGAGTTGCAAAAAGTTTTTAATATAATTTTCTTATAAAATGAAGGCACAGTCTTATTGAAAGAAATCATTGCATTACATCCACTCGAATTAATGGTCTTGCAGTCTATTAAGGTTAGTATCATTGCTTTTAATATAGTTATTTTGAAACATGCATATATCATCCTTTTATTTTGACAGATCTTGGCTTCAAAACTGTTTTCATTGATTTATTTTCATAAGCTGCCTTTTCTAGTCGTCTTTCCCAAAGAGTCCTGGTATAGGAGATGACTAGACTGACACTGAAGCAAACCGAGCTCTTAGTGCTGCCTGTTAAACAGAGGCGACACCATTTCATAATTAAATCATCCTTAATGATTCAGTGATTGTTATGCGTCTCAAAAGTCAGGACAGAGGATAATCAGAAAGCTAAATCTGAAACTCCCTTGAGCCTCGCTCCATATTCTCTTATCGGATCATGTCCCTCTTTGTCAACATTGGCTAAATGTTTTATACGTTACACAACTGGTTCTTACGTCGGTTTGTTTAAACTCTGGTCCTTTAAACTCCCTAGAAGTGAGCAAATAAAGCAGAAACCACAAGGTAGCCCCTTAAATCTGATCTTGCTGCCAGGTCAGGTGTGCTGTACAACAAGAAAGAGAGCAAAACGGAGGAAACCTCCAGACCCAGGAGAATGCAGGCCTTCTTTACCTCAAAATCTTCTCCCGCTCTTTCAAAATTTAAAGAAAATGTATCCACTACCAAGCGGTGTGCTGAACCATCCATTTTGTGTCCTGATTTTATAACCAGCTGTTACCAAGGGGGGTAACTTTAAATACAAGGCAATTTGGCAAAAACATGAAGTGTAGAGGTCAATAGGTAAAGTGGAAAAGAGAAAAGATTGAGGAAGATGCTGTTGCAGCAGTAAGATGACGTGCTCTGCGCATTAGCTGTGACATTTTATAGCTCACAGCACCAAAAAGGTCATGGTCAAGATTTTTAATGAGGATCTGCTCTCATGCTTTCTTAGTAATGGGGTGGAGTGGTGGGGGGTTTGGAGTCGGGCAACGGTTTTATTGGTTTTGATAGCAAGCTGCAGTTGATCTAATAATTATGCAAAATAGTTCAAAACAAATTAAGTCTGTAACTATGTCAATAAACAAGGAGGAATCTTGGTGAAAAGGTAGAACACTTCCTTCTGGGGTTTTCTATTCATGAGAGTTTATAAGAAGAATTTTAGAATGTGGTCAAAAATATTCTTATGTCATCTTATTCACCATACGAGGATTTAGTAACTTTTTACTATAAGTGGCTTCTTTCCCACCTTTCCCAGTGCGGTTTGCATAGGAATACTATGTAATTCCACTGCCCTGGCAATAGACACCTTGTTCGTTCTAAATGCACCTTTAAGCAGCTCGTGATTTACGTTGGTGCGATCTATCTGCTCACACTGTACGACTAAAAACCACGTCAGGCTCAGCTCCGCAGTGAGATTGAGCTGCTCTGTAGCTCTCTATTCTGAAGCCAAACAAATGGGGGATATTAAGCTCACTATAGTGAACCACGCTACCTTGGTAATTTGTGCAATGCTGTGCAATGCTCTGAGCGATTTGTCCACGACGGTTGGGAGAAAATCAAACATGTTTGATATTCTCCCGACCTCATGATTCCTGATCGGGAGGTGGTTGTGAGAGGCTGATCATCGCTCGTAACCCCCTATACACTACACGACTCACGGCGCACGATCAGGCTGAAAGTCGGCCCGATCGATAGATTCTCGCACGACTGGAAAATCATCCCGAAAATCGCACAGTGTACGAGACATGAGAGAAACCAGAGAAACCCTAAATAAGCAATGGAAAGATGGTGAGAAAGAAAATAAATACTTGTTTTATCAAATAATTTCTTTTCATAAACATAATTATTTAACTTCCAAAGGTTTAAACACATTTTATAGTAAAACAATGAAGAGAAAACTACCTTGTAAAGGATATTAAACTGTACCTAGATATATTTCCAGTATGCATTGATGTGTCAAATCGAACTTATGACTCACATTTATGTTTTTTAACTTTTTTATGTTCTTTTTTTCCTTTTCTGTTACTATCTTCCATCTGTTTTTGAAGTAATAATTTGTGTGTGAAAAATCTGAATGTTTTTTTTCTGGCTAAACAGAGCAGTTACCAAAAATTTAATGATGCACAACCATATGACATGATGGCACAATTGTGTCATTGTTGCCCCACACAATGCGACAATTATTGACCTAGCTTACAGGGATCTGAAAAGGATGATAGGTACTGACTGGCTTATAATGGCTGGGGAGATGATCAGTCACATGAGAACAAGGTGAGTACAACTAGAAGGACCTGCAGCTCGGTTGGGGCCTTCGGAGATGAAGGAAATTAAAAATGAATGCTGAGATGGGTTCAAAAGGATTTGAACCCTTTAAAAGAGGTATATTGAATAATAATTAAGAAAAAAAATCCACCAGAATAAGAATGTAAGCCAATATAAGAAGAACAGAACCCAGTAAACACAATGGACTAAAGCCAGCAGATGGTATGAGTCCACAAATCATTACTGACTGTGGAAACTTTACACTAGACTTTAGGAAAGTTGGATTTTGTCCCTAAGGAAATATGAGCGGAGTGTTGTATGCAGTGAGGAATGCTCTGATCTTTATATTGGAGAAACCAAACAACCTCTCCACAGATGCATGGCCCAACACAAAAGAGCTACCTCCCCTGGACAAGACAATGCTCTGAATGTTCACATTTTGGACAAAGAAAATAGGTGGTTTGAAAGGGGTGTGAAGGAAGCTACCTATGTTAAGAAAAAAAAAAAAAACTTAAACAGAGGGGGTGGACTCAGGTTCTACCTTTCAAAGACCTACAATGCAGCAATTGAGTTAATCCCTTCTCGTTATCATCGCAGCCCAAGCCCGAGAGCGGAGGACCTTGTCTATTCAGCCAGGCCAAAAATCCCCTTTAACGACCGACCTTTCAGACACTTAGACGGGTATGGGTCATTGCAGACCAACAAAAGAAGCCAAACGACCCCCATTCCAATTTGTTGGACCCCTTCGTCTGTCCCAATTTGCATGTTTTCAAAACAACAACAAAGCTTTGTTGGGCTACTGTATAAAACCTCGAACTCAACCCTATTCCTGACATTTTGAATTGAAAAAGCTTCCTGGATGGGAAGTGAAACGTCTTCAAACTTGGAAACAAAGTCCAGTGGATTGTTTTTCTTTTTTTTTTTGGAAAGATTTTGTCCCTCATTACCCTTCAAACTCTGGGATTTTTATTTACTATTTAAATAAATGAAAAAGAAAGATTGCATCAGAACATATCACCAAGAAAATAACTTCATAAATGAAGAACATTATAGACAACCCTAAACATCCTCCTTAAAGGAAGACAAATTGAACAGTAAGAGTATCTTCACTTTTATGCTTGTCCAAACCCGCTGCAAGACAGACTGCTACAGGAGATCAATCCTTCCTATAGCTATTAACATCTAAAACAACTTTTTAGATAACTATAATTTTCTGAATTAAGGTTTCCCCTTTTAGTGTTACTTTTGTATTTTACTCCTACTCATGTTCTTATAATAGCCCCCTGTGATGAGCCAGGCTTTTTAACTATGACAAAACGTGACAACTGCCATTATCATGAAGGCCATAATCTAACATTTCTATTTTATGAAGTAGTTATTTTATTAATGTTTTCATGAGCTGTCATTTTTTTTGGGTCAACCCTCCTATTAGAAATAAAAGCTTGAACTGTATCAACCTGTTCAATATATTATTAGACTCAAGGTTTATACAGAGTTACTGAAATAAAAGATACTCCAATATATTGTGCTGCTCTTAGATTTTTGGCTGTAGCTGATAAATGTCAAATAAAAGGTGAACTGGATGGAAAAAGCACTAAGATGCAAGACAAAGCTGACGTGGACATGGCGAGATAATAACTGAAGGTATAAGCCAAAGATCTGGCGTCTTTAACAGGATGATTCGGATTCAGCATTGATCCATGGTTGGCGGGGGGATTAGGAACAGAAGAGGTCATGTCATTGGCAGAGGTTTGTTCTCAGCCAATATGGAGGAGGAGAGGGAAGAATATCAGAAGTTAAAAATAGAATAAAGTAGAAGAAGGACACAGAGGGGGTTGGGTGTTCAAAGGAAGTGCAGAATCTGCAGATCTGACCTGAGACCAGTATATCAGCTGCTCTGTTACTGTAAATCACTCCTGGGATTTTCAGCCCAACATGCCACCAGATTTAGCCTTTGCATATAACTGGTGGGTCAGTATAGGCTACAATATGTTCTGTACAGATACAGACAATGTTCATCTATCCAGGTGTGACTTTGTTCCTTTGTGACTGATTTCTGCAGCAGAGGTTCTGTGTTGTATTTGCATCTCCTGGCAGAAAAACTGCTGTCCTCAGCAGCTTTAGTCACAGCATCTGCCCCCAGTTTTCTTTGTTTTCTTTATTAATTCATCTTCTTGTTTTGGCCTCATGTTTCTTAAGCCTAAAGCTACTTTTATTCTTCGACACCAGCGGTTTTATAGTTTGATAACTCTGCTTAAATAAATGTGAACTCCTTCTGTCTCATAGAATCTGATCATGTGGATCATAATTGTTTGTTTTTTAAGTATTCAAATGAAAAAATATTCTTTACTGTCATGCATTTTTAGCCATTAATATTTATATACATTACATGTAATATTTTATCCATTTACAGCCATTATCCTAAGCCTGAGGACATTTTTTTTTAATATAAATAGATATCATCTTTTAATTTAGTTCTGCTGGATTTAAAAAAAATTGTAATTTAAGTACAAATATTTGTTCTGTTAGTGCAACAAGACTAAAATTGCATCAGTAAAAAGCTGTATTCAGAGTTCAAAGACCAATAATTGCAAAATAATCCTTGCCACTGGCAGATATATCTTTTGATTTAACCAACATGTTCTGTTTGCCTTGAAGTTCCATTCATGTTTGCTTGGTCTAGCCAGAGTCCCTCCGTGTAGAGAAACAAAAATTAGATTGATGGCCTGGCTACTTTCCTATTGCAAATACTTGAAGTCATCACTAAAAAGATGTCCAATAGAAGTTGTCAGAGGGATTTGAATATTGTATAATTAATAAAACTGTTGAGGAACATGGTATGCATGCTTTTTGGCTTAGTTTTGTGGGTGATAGATGAACTGATGATTGAGATTGTTGGTTTTGACTGACTCTTCCTTTAAATCAGGGCTTTAGAAAGTCACAGATCCACTGTGTGCCACATGTTCCAGTACCTATTTTTATGCTGGTGAAGATTCTCAGTAATCCAGATCATAGTCAGAGCTTCATATCTTTAATCTATATTTTCGCTTTTGGTCCACTCTATAGAGCCTCAAACTCAACGCTATTTCAGACATTTTCAATTGAAAAAGCTTCCTGGATGGGAAGTGAAACATCTTTAAACTTGGAAACAAAGTCCATTGGATCGTTTTGTAACTTTTTTGGAATACTTTCTGTTTTTGTTTGCCTTACTTTGATATATCTGAATATTTCTTTCTCTGAAAATGAAGGAAAAAAAATATGGTTTCGTTATCGACCCAGACTAAAGCCCTTATTTCTTTTCTAATATGCAATGTAGAAATTTATTTTGAAACCTAAAAAGTGTCAAAAAAAGATGATGGATATTTTTTAAACAATTAATATAACCCATGCTAATTGTCAATCAGAGCACTTCAAGTTTAACATTCGGATAAAACCAGAGATGGCAAAAGTACTCACTTTCCGTACTTGAGTAAAAGTACGGATACTTGTGTTAAAAAATACTCTGGTAAAAGTGGAAGTACTGATTAAACTTCTTTACTCAAGTAAAAGTAACAAAGTACAGGCTTGTAAATTTACTTAAAGTATAAAAGTAAAAGTAGAAACCACTTTTTTCATGCCGTTGCCTACATTTTAAATGGATGTCTGCCAATAGGACTAGATCTCCGTTGTGTTCATTTTCAATCATCTCGTCGTCCATGCTACTATGCTAACGCCACCGCCACCAAGCTGCAATGATTTGCCGCCAATGAATACCGCCGAATCTGTCGATTCATCTTGTAGTGGTGCGTCAAATGCAACGTAGATTCCCATCCAATTAGATTGAATTTGGTATTGATGACGTGAAAAATAATAACGGTAACTCCATTGAAATGATTCAAAACTAAAGTAACGAGCCAATTTTTTAAAATGTAAGGAGTAGAAAGTACAGATATTTGTGTAAAAAGGTAAGGAGTAGAAGTAAAAAGTCGCCATAAAAATAAGTAGTAAAGTAAAGTAAAAATATTTAGAAAAATCTACTTGAGTACAGTAACGAAGTATTTGTACTTCGTTACTTCCCATCTCTGGATAAAACATTGTTTTATAAATACATTGAATTCTACCTTAATGTCTTTTAAAAATTGCATTTTTTTGCTCCTGGTTTGCATGAATGCCTCTTACGGTTTTGATGTCGGTCCTCCAGGGAAGGTGTATGTCCACTGCAGAGAAGGCTACAGCCGCTCTCCGACCATGGTCGTTGCTTACCTCATGATACGACATAAAATGGATGCTCGGCAGGCTCTGGCCACCGTGAGGCAGAAGAGAGAGATCGGCCCCAACGACGGCTTCCTACGCCAGCTGTGCCAACTCAACGAGAAGCTGGCAAAGGAGGGCAAGCTGAACGGAGAGGTGGGGAAAACAAAGACCAAATGAAAACAGGAGAGATGTCTAAAGGACCCGTCTCTTCTCGTCAGGCCGATCGCATCCTGACGGAACCAGCACCCATCTAACATATCAGGGGTACAAACATGCATTTATCTGTGTAAATACCTGTCCTTCATGTATGCACAAACAGTTAAATTTTCCCACCTTCTTCTCTATTACTCCAAACTTCACCTCTGGGCAGAATTTCTCTAAATTTGAAAGATGACAAGCGTACCTTCATAACGCATTCTTTTGATTTCAATACGATTTTAACAAGAGAAAAACCTCCCCTGATTTTTAAGCTATTCTTACAAATTTGTATCAAACTGAAGATTATAGCACAATCATTCCATAGTTTTCCACTGCCGGAATGTCAGTGATTCTCTGCGAACTGGAGTAAATTGCAGAAAGGAGAAAAAATATCCTAAATTTCAAAAATGTTTGAACACGGAGAAAAAGCGGATGAAGGAAAATCCCAAACATTCCATAGACTTTAAAGACACCCAGATTTAATCCATAATATACTTAAGTCTTTATCTTCTATACACAAGAAACTAAATAAATACACCTTCTCGCTCTCGAATGCTCCTACACTCTGGCTGTTCCGTTTCACTTTTGGCTTCTAGTTTGACAACGTTGGCAGTAAAAGAGTCAAAACACCAAAAACCATTGAGGGTTGTGATAATTAGAAATAATGAGCTGTGTGGCTCGCTCATGTTACGCTATATTTTATGTGAAGAATGTTCCTTTTAGTTGGATTGTGAGTCTAGTTAGTTCCATGTTAAAACAATAAAATGGAAATATCTATTTCCATTATATTTGTAAGTACACTTCTTTGTGACAAAATCCACATCCTCCAGCTGGAGAAAAGAAATCTAGTTATAGAAACGTTCATCCACTTCGTATGATATATGAATAGGGAATAGAGAAGGAACAGAATTTAATCATAACTCTGCAGCACTAGATCGTGTTTCTAGTTTATATTTTTAGGCTTTTTTTTTATTAAATCCCTATAATAAATCCAAAGTCACAGTCACATTTTTTTCACTTGGGGAGTATTTTCTCCACCACCAATCAGTTTAGTGCTGCAACAAGAAAATCCCATTTAAATAAAGGCATAATTTACAGAAAGAGAAAATATACTATTTATCATGAATGCATTTTCCTTCAGGTTCTTATTTTTCGTTCAATCAAGTTAGAGTTTTCACTCCCTGGAGGAACTCGGACATTGATGAAAGAGGCCTCTGTTGAGCTTTATACCTTAAAAAATGGAAAATCATCTTAGATTGATTTTGTTCAACTTCAGACATCTGCATATAGACATGCGAGTCCTTTTGCTCACCAGCCAATGTGGGTAGTGGTTTTCCAAAGCTACTAGCCACTCAGCATTTTCAGTAGCCACATTTTTTGTTGTTTGGAATAATTTGCTTATTATGATTAAAGCTGCTAATTATTGCCTTAAAACCTAAATACATTGTTATTATCAGACGCCCAGACATTTCAGCTCCTTTGGCTTAAGTCTACCCTGCATGTCCAGAACCAAAGATGAAGAAGCAGCTTCTAGTTCTTATTATCCACTAATTTGTAACAAACTCCCAGAATACTTTAAAAGTACCAAAACCCTTGATTTATTAAAATGAATTTGCATAGAGCACAATCTGACTGTGCTATCTAAACATTACTAGTTAAGTTTTCAATATAACTTCTCTTTCATTTTTATCAATCATTTTAGCTAGTAACATTCTTTTTAACCATTAAGGTTGCCTTTATGCCTCTGCAATGCACATTTTTTTAATCTCCTCTCTTGTGCAGCACTTTTAATTGACTTGCCACTGAAAGGTGTCTAATAAATAAATTTCCCTTGCCTTTGAAGGAAAATATGAAGTTTACAAAGTAATAAAATGGGTTGTTTCTTTAAATATTAAAAGAGCTCCAGGGAAGTAGAAGATTAATTCAAAAGATAAAAACTAAAACAGAAAAAAAGTGATGAACACAGTTATAAAACATTTTTACAGCAGTAAAAAAAAAAAAAAAGTACGGCATGAGATTGAGAATATAGGAAACAAAAACACTCGTATTTTGCAGATTGGTGGGTGTTAATCTTAAGGCCTGAATAGTAAGGCCATTTGACCAGAAAAATTAACTCAACTGATAAGGAGGTTGAATTTAGCAAATAAGTTTACTTGGGTAACTTAAACCTTATTTAGGTTATTAATCTAACTAAACTGATTAAATACAGTTTAAAATCAAATGTTCTCTTTAATATGCTAATAGATCAGGGTGTCATCAGCATGGCAGGAGCAGGAAATGTAATGTTTTGCTTAATGTAGACCCTCAGGGCAAGAAATAAGACAATAATTGCGGAAAAGTCAAAATGGATCCTTGAGGAATCCCAGCTTACTAGGCTTCAGCTGAGGAACATTGGTCTAATTAAAGCAGCATTTAACAGGATGTAGTTTAGCCACCCTGACATGTGCTGCTGTTTTTTTTTTCTAAGCAAGACAAGATATTTTTCTGATGGGTCTTATGAACAAAAAAGTTCTTAAGTTGTATTATTAGAAATTCAGCTCCAACAATTTTAAAGTAAAGCAGACCTCTTCATATTTGTGCACTCTGCTCCAATCCATTTAGATAACAGTGATAATGTATATCTGAAAAGAGCCAACACCCAAGAACCCAAATATAAGCAGCACTCTTCCATAAATGACCACTTTATGAGCTTAATCTGTCACTGTCCGGTCGCTTGGACGCTTAAAAAAGCCAGTTTCAATCTAGAGGCCTTACAGTGTCAAACGTGTCAGCTGGGAAGGATGCCATTGGCCTTCAGTCGAGAGCGTTTCTGTCATCGCACCAGAGAGTAAATCCACTGCCAGCTCCCTTCACCCACAGCCCTTCAGCTAGTATCAGATGCCACTATTTCATTAACACCGTTTGTCAAAACACACCCACAGCCCTACATGTGTGCCAAACAGAAACCCATGCACACATAAACATACACTTGATGTTTGTATGCACTGAAGCATTGCAATATATGTCAATACCCTATCAGATATATGAAATATAATCATATTTGGAATGAATTACCCAGTAGTACTCATGTAACACCCTCAGTTCTATAGCTGTTTGCTAATGACAATGCATTAGTTGATGATTGTAAATGTATTTGTCCAGGGAAGGATGGTATCTACAGTAGATTGAAGGGAAATAAAGAGAAAGAACTGGCTTTAGTCTGAGTCTTGGTCCAACAATCCAGATTATATAAACTCAGAATCTGGTGGGACAAATATCAAAATGGCTTTTACCCATCATAAATGCCGCAAATAATTACTTTCCCAATATATCTGTATACATCATAATATATATATATGTATATGTATACTGTATATACATATTTAAGTGTTGACATATATGAATGTAAAAGCAATGTGTCTATAATGTGTAGGTATCGTCATTATGTCTTTAGATCTCATGTTATATTTGTATTAGGGTCTCTCTGCCATTATTGCTGTTTTTAACAACAAAACTTCATGTACATTAATACTCAGATATGATGTGCATGTCAAGTTGTTGTATGATTCTGATATTTAAATCTCTTTATTTTTAACCAGGACGCCTGTTTTGTTTAGAGATGCACCAATCTACTATACTGGCTAGGTTATCTTTGACTTTTCTGTAAATGGTACATTTTTGGGATTTTTTTTTTCTTGCTCTGTTCATTAAAAGCATCAAAATGGATTTTTCCTAATATCTTTGGGCTGTAAATGCATCGACCAACGGCATGCCAGGGTTCCTATGCTGTCTGGGAAAATATGGGATCTTTTTTTTTTACTTTAAGTATGGAAAAAGGAAAACTATATATAATAATCTTATAAGATAGTAACCTATTCCAGGATCCATAAGAAAAAAACCTAATTTTTTTTTACATTTAGATGATTTGTTATCATTTATTTGGCAAAACTAGATAGAATTTTTAGTCCAAGTCATTAAAATGTTTTTGTTTTGTAAAATTTAATGAGATAATCCACTCATTCAGAAGTTTAAATACTGCTATTTTTCCTCTCTTTTGGCTTAGAAACTCTCAAATCCAGATTTTAAAGATTTCTTGCTTTTATGTATTGGATCTTTGAAAATGACATTATTAATGATTTAAAATCAATAAATACAAATAATATTTGTATTGTTTTATATGCAATAATTTCTTCAATATTTATGTATTTTTATTATATATGGGTTCCACTGGGATAAATATCTGGATCACAGAGCTGCCTGAACTAATAGAACAGGGCACTTCTGCTTCTGCAGGGTTTTAACTTGAAGGTGGTGCAGCAGAAGCAGAGGGGCGGCGGCTGTCTGAGCTGCTCCAGGGTTTTCCTTAAGGAGTTGCAATATTAAGGCTACTTGCGGACATTTTTACCTCAATCAGGGCCGAGAATGAAGGTAATGACTTTACAGCTCAAAACCATAGACTTGACCACTCTGAAATTAGTTTTCTACATTGGACGATTGAGTGTTTTTTAAATTTTTTTTGTTAAAACAGATTTAGGGTTTTAAACGCAGCCCACTGCCTGAGTGTAACTTTAGAAGCTGAGTCTTTTTTTTTGTCATAAGCATGGCTTAAGATTCCCAAATACTAAATTTTTATTTATGTTTAATCCACATCATTCAGTCTTCAGCTTAACTTTTCGCTGCCCCTCGTCTGTAAAAAAACTTCATCCCATGGCAAATTAGTGAACAGCTGTGTGTTAAATTTACACTTAAACCTAATTTAAATGAGCTGGCTTAAACAAAAAAAAAAAAAAAAAATTAAGAAAAAAATAAAAAGCCAGAGCATCTGAGCAGAATGGGGCTAAGTAGGTCCTAAGTAGAGCCCATATAAAAGTAAAAATGCTAAAATGTTGGTTAAAACACTTTTTTTTTCACCATCTTTGATTTTATATTATTGTTGAACACAGAGAAACCAAACTTCAACACAGTTTGAACAAAAAAAAAAAAAAAAAAAAAAAAGTGGGGTGAATTTTGAACTGTCTAGTTCATAAGAACCCTGGCATGCACTTAAATCCTGAGTGGGATTAGGATTATGGATATTTCCTGCAATGCATAGATCAATATCTTTATCAAGCTGAAAAAAAGCATGATTGGTGCATCTCTAATTATTTGTCTCAATTTGAGACTCCCCGCAGTTCCTTCATGAGCTATAGCCACATGCATTACACTTATCAATACCATTGTATTCAATGATTTACAAACAGTAGGCACTCATTTAATGTTATTTTTGCAAACTTGAATAGACATCTGTGGAGAAACATGTTATTCTACAGACTGATTCTCCATTTCACCATACAGATCTCTCACATGTTATGTTTATTGCAAGTTTCTCACATAAACAACTGGTTCAGTCTGTACTCCACACAACCTCAGTTTATTAAAACTAATAGAGGAAATAACACAGAGCAGCTTTTTCAATGACACATCGACCTTAAATTTGACAGCATAGTCTTTAGCTGCATCATATTAATTATTTTAAATATGGGACGCTTTACATAAGATGACCTTTACTTCAGAAACAAACTGCATCTGTTCAGCCCTGCAGATATTCTCAAATCAATGTCGCCCCCTAGTCACATAAAAACAGATGGCGAGAACAAATAACAGCCTGTTTTCTTTTTGTATGACTTTAATTTCACTTTGCAAACTTTGGAGAAACTGGAGATGAAACCCAAACTCCATCAGCAGATAATTATAGTATTATTACTTATTCTAATGTTCTTTTTGAAAATAATATTTCTATTATATACTTTAATGATGAAATAAATAAATAATTTCACTAATTTATTATATATACTAACATTTGATCTCTCCTATTTCTCTGTCTTTAAAACTTTGGATAAGAAAAGTCTATATTTTATTAAATGTAGCCATTAGATATTTTTTTAAGTATATCAGAGCAGTTATACCATCATCTAATGAACACATGTTTTAATAAGGAATACTGAGAAACACTTTTAAATTAGCTGTATTTGGAGTAATATTCTAAAGTATTTATAACTTTGCTTCTTCACATTTTATCGTGTTTCATTGGATTGTATGTGATGGATGAAAATGAAATAGCACATAAATGTGAAGTTGAGGCCATCTGTTTGACATTATGGATTAATTTGAACTGTTTAGTTTAATCCCAGAGCTATTAGGTTGAATTAATCAGTCTTTATGATGCTGTTTGTTCACTAATGTTATTTAATAAACATAAGAAGCCCTAAGAAACATGTGGACCTTGTTTACAACCCTTTACTAATAAGGGGATTTCTGAAAGCATTCGTTGCACTTAAGATTACTTAGAGGTATAACAATAAATCTGGATAATGCAGGATATTTGTTCACTTTAACAATTGTGTGCTATTTCATGATAGTAAATAACTTAAAATCCACTCAAAATACAATGAAGCTTGATTCTGTAACGTGACAAAATGTGATTAAGTTTAGCTTGTTGGAAAACTTTTGCAATCTTCAACCCCCCCTTAATACCCATAGATACACAAAGAGAATAATTTTAAAGGCCTCTCATGTCATAAAAAAGATTATTTAGATTTCACATTCACTAACGTCCAGAACTCCTGTGAACTCTGACTCATTATTGGCCACAAGGAAAAGCCAGAAAAGGTAATATTCTCAAAGGGAGTTAAACTCAAGTTCTGACTTTGCTGAATGAGAATAAAAAAGCCGTTTTAATGTCTCTCAGTCCAGGTTTACATACAAGTTGTTCTACTCGATGCTGACCTCTCTCATTTTTGGTCATGTGAAAATGTTGGAGTTGATCCTTAGCGAACTTTAAAGTTTTTATTGTTGTTTTTTTTTCACACAAATTCTTCCTTCTTGTTGTTAAACAGCCATGGGTTTAATTTAATAGTAAAATGTCCTAATGCACGGCTTATTTCCTTTAACTCATAAAATTCACACTATATATTGAAAGAGGAGCCTATATTGCTCCAACTATTACATCATAATCCAAAGTAGATATATTTAATCTACTGCACAAAAAAAATAAATAAATAAAAGTCTTCCAAATAAATAATATAGTTTCTAGTTTAGCTCAACTAAATATCTTTGCAAATCTAATTCAAATCAACTGCTGCAATGATCTGCATGTCACCAACCATCAGTTAAGGTTTTTATTCACACATTGTAGACATCTTTTGAACCAAGAGGACATTTTCTGTTGCTACTGAAATGAAAAAGCTTCTCTGTGACTAGACATGGGCTGGCATCAGATCGCTATGGTGTAATACTTTTTGTAATTTTTCAATTATTTTGTTTTGGTTTGGCGTATCAAGAGCATGAAACTGCATTCACTTAAATGGCTACCGGTAAATTTGTGCACACAGAGGTGGAATTTGAAATACAAAATACAAATAAACGACATAAGAAGGCAACCATTGTTTCATGCTGGAAACATCCAATCATCTTCTACTGCCTTTCCATCAAGGTTATGAAGGACTTGATGGACAAGCCATAGACCAGCTGTCTAAGGGTAAAATGTGGGTTGGAGATTGACAACCATTCACATTCCAACTTAGAGGCAACATATTGTGATGTCATGTCAGAGAGAAGGGTTGCTTGCGCAGGGAGTTCAGGTAAACTCCGAAAATCGAAATCTAGATAAGTAATTTTTTCTAAAATAAATCAATTTATTGAGGAGGTAAAAGAGACATCTTGCCAATGAAACAAGACAATTTACACTTAAAATAAGAAAACATTGTCTTATTTAAAGTGCTTATTATCTAATTATCTTATTTCAAGAGTAAAAATACTAATTCCATTGGCAAACTATCTCATTTATGTACTCAAATTAAGGGTAAATACACTTAATCTAAGACATTTTTACTAGATTGTTTTTCCAGTGCTCACTGTAAGGCAACAATGCTACAAACTGTGCAGTTTGTAGCATTGTTGTGCAGTTCATCTGGCAACAGATATATTTTTTCAAACAGCTGATTAAAGTACTTGAAGACCTAAACAAACTATAGGATGGGAGCCGATCAAACTGACATCAGCTTGTTGAACAATTTTTTTACCAGCAGACAGAATCCATCTGATCTTGCTGAAACTATCTGGTTTACATTCTTGTCTTAAAAAGTTATAAGTGGAGCCCCAAACCACACTGGAAAAAAGCTAAATCTAGATCAGTCATTTTTTCTTAAAATAAGTGCATTTGTTCTTGCATTAAGGAGGTAAAAGAGACATTTTGCCAATTGAACAAGACAATTTACACTTAAAATAAGAAAACACAATTGCATTCTCTTATTTTAAGTGCATATTATCTAAATATCTTATTTTAAGAGTAAAAATACTCATTCCATTGGCGAACTCTCATTTACCTTCTCAAATTAAGGGTAAATACACTTAATTTAAGACATT